AAATACAGATAAGCCAGGTGTGTGTCAAAATCACAAAATATTAACTATGAGTTGAGCATTTGTTTTAAAAAGAAGATGTACTGTACTTTAATCAATACTGCTTATGATGTAAAGAATGATATCGGTAAAAGATTCTTTCATGCAAGAAAGGCAGCTTTGACAATTTGATTTAAGAGATGTCGTTCTATTCCCGAAGTTGCTTCCTAATTTTATTAATTAATAGCTCAAGAATTGAAGTCTGATCCCACTTTTATAAAATAATACAATGGAGTGGATCTTAGAGCAAAACATTTTTTAGATTGTGTGGAAATAAGGGAAGGATTCCTTTTCTTCTAAAACCATTTCAATGATATGGAACTGAACATACACAAACCTAGTAGTGTAATCTATAAAACACTTTCTTAAAGTGTATACACAAGTCAATTTTAGTTCAGTCTACACTTAGTTTATTTATTATTTGCTTAATTTATACCCTGCCTTTCTCACCCCCGCAAGAGGAATCAAGGCAGCTTACAACTCCGGCAAGATTCAATGACATTTAAAACACATAAAACATATATTATGTTCAGATCCCTGTCTCTCAATTAATGAAGCAAAGATACAACTCTACTTCTTGTCCTAATCCAAATGTTGTATCCTATGCAGTCTTCCTCTGACACAACATTGAGTGTAGCTGTCCAACAAAGGAAGCTGTGGGCATCCATGGAGTGGCCTGGCCACAAGTAATGTATTAATAAGAATAAAATATATACATAAATACAGAGTGAAGTGTCAGAGGGACCTTGATTGGTTTCAAATATGTTGTTGTTGTTCATTCGTTCAGTCGTCTCCGACTCTTCGTGACCTCATGGACCAGCCCACGCCAGAGCTCCCTGTCGGCCGTTACCACCCCCAGCTCCTTCAAGGTCAGTCCAGTCACTTCAAGGATGCCATCCATCCATCTTGCCCTTGGTCGGCCCCTCTTCCTTTTGCCTTCCACTTTCCCCAGCATAATTGTCTTCTCTAGGCTTTCCTGTCTCCTCATGACGTGGCCAAAGTACTTCAACTTTGTCTCTAGTATCTTTCCCTCCAGTGAGCAGTCGGGCTTTATTTCCTGGAGGATGGACTGGTTGGATCTTCTCGCAGTCCAAGGCACTCTCAGCACTTTCCTCCAACACCACAGCTCACAAGCATCGATCTTCCTTCGCTCAGCCTTCCCTAAGGTCCAGCTCTCACATCCGTAGGTGACTACGGGGAATACCATTGCTTTAACTATGCGGATCTTCGTTGCCAGCGTGATGTCTCTACTCTTCACTATTTTATCGAGATTGGTCATTGCTCTCCTCCCAAGAAGTAAGCGTCTCCTGATTTCCTGGCTGCACAGTCTGCATCTGCAGTAATCTTTGCACCTAGAAATACAAAGTCTGTCACGGCCTCCACGGTTTCTCCCTCTATTTTCCAGTTGTCAATCATTCTTGTTGCCATAATCTTGGTTTTTTTGACATTTAGCTGCAACCCGGTTTCAAATATACTTAGGCCAAATCAGTTGGGAATCAGTTCATCAGTATGAAGAAATAAGACTTCTACATATGTTGTAAGACCATGGATGTCATCCTCCACTGGGAGGCATAGCTACAATACAGAGTTCTGTTAGCCTTCCTTCCCACCCATCCAAAACAACTTTTTTCTCAGCTGCTGCCTCAAACCCAGCCATTTTTGATTGATGGAGAGCAGAGGGAGTGGCACACAAGTGTCCTACAGTTAGACATGGTGGCAGGCACCCAGAAGGAGCACCAGTTGCAAATGATACAAATGCTCTACCGGGTCAGGGCTGAGTATTTATTTGTTGCCCCCTCAATTCTCTCATTGACTAGCTGTGTTTTGGAGACAGCAGCTGATAAATGGAACTGGATGGAATTTTGGTCAATGTGTGGACAATAAAGAATTGCAACTGCTGCAAGGACTGCAAAAATGAACAGTCATATTGTGAATCAGACAAAGTGTGATGTTGTGAGTCAGTCCACGACAATTCATCAACAGGAACATCTATTTTCTTCTTATGTACAGAAGAAAATAGATGTTCCAGCAGCCTCGATCATGCAGATATGGACAAGATCCATTCATACTGGAATGGAAGATTTCAGTCACGCCAGAAATGTTTTACCAAACTCCAAGAACTTTCTCAGCCACAAAGGGGACTGTTAATTGTCTGAATCACCTTTCACCAAACTTATCCACCAAATATAAAAAATCTCCAAATGCCATGATTACCCCATTCCCCATATTTTGGTGCAGACTTGCTATTCAAAATGTATTTCAAACAGAAAATGGTGCAATATCATCTCTACAGTTTTAACTAACAATAACCAGTAAAATGTTTGTTTATATGTTTTATTTTATATCACATCTTGCTTCTAACATGGGTTAAAAGAAAATACAACTAAATTAAAGCATACCCCAAAGCTCTTTGGAAAACGTTGTAACACTGACATAAATAGACTTCCTATGCATCAGAAAGGTTTGCTATTCTTGTTATCACTATTATTCTACATGGTAGATAAAACATTTATAGCATTTTGATTTCAGCGTCCTTGGAGAACAATGTTATTAGGACCATAAAACTATTATATAATGTTCTCAAAAACATAGCATGGGTTCAATAAATCCTCAAACACTACAAAGCATTCCTCAGCTTGAAGAACGAAAACATGAGTTCATCCAGTGATGACAACTCAGGATATAAATTCCACTAATCATTTGCAATCCGCCCCCCATGTGAACCTTGACCACAGCAGCCCAGAATTTTGACAGCATCTTAAATTCAAACTCAGGTACAATATGTACACTGAAATGATTAAATGAAAAATGATATTTCAAAAAAACAGATCTGGTAATGAAGTTCTATTGCACTAACAAAATAGAAATGTATCCTAAACATGCGGCTCACTCTTACTTACATTGTAGCTTTTCATTGCTCCTACACACAGACATCTTTTTAAAACTTTACCACAATTATTTTGTATTTCATGTTGAGTAATCAGTTCTAATCCAAGCTCTAGCAAAAAATGGCTTTATGTATAAAATCTGCTGATAACAAGCCTATGGGCTCTGTCAGACTAAGGGGGAAATCGCTACAGATATTTTAATGATTCATCAAAAGGCATCTCATGTGAGAGACACATTTCAAAAGTTAATGAAACACAAGTGGGAAGAAGGGGAAATCTGTGGCCCAGGACCACATTTTAACCATAGACACACACTTTCATACATTCTTTTCCAAGGAACGTCACAGCCACATTAAACTAATTCCCTTTCATTTTTCAATGAAACCTCCACAAGTCATTTAAAAAACAAAAAAGAAGGATATATTCCAGGATGAAGAATGGAAGCAGAGGGAAGGAAAGAGGGAAAGCAGAGGGAAGGAAGAAGGGCGGGGGGATGTGAGGACTGAATTCAGCCAGAGAAGAAAGGCCTTGAAAGTTTCTGCCAATAGCAGCTGAGGTGCTTCATCACAAGCCTATTTTTCCAGACATTATGTTTCATTTGGCTTCCAGGGTCACATGACAGCTGCAAACTAACGCCTTGAGGTCTGTTTCTGCCTCGCTGTGACACTGACAGGCTGTGAGAGACTCCAACACCACAGAAAGAATTTTCCCCCTTGTTTCCATTACATCATCCAGCCAGAATTGGGGGAGAGGGAGGGGGGCACACAGCTGGTGGCAGCTGCAGTACCATCTGCTTTCCACTTACAGAGCATGCTACTTTGCTCCACGGATTCCAACTGAACCTTCCTGGGGAAGAGTCTGCCTCTCTAGACAAAACACCCCATTGTGTGAAACATATTTGCAATTGTGGTGGAATAAGTTACTCTCCAGTGCGTAGAAAAGGATTCATCAGGTAAGGATTCCTGACCGCTCACAGCGCCCAGCGGCACAAAGGACAAAATCGCTAAACACTCTGAGATTAGAAGGAATAAAAGGCTGAGTAACAACCTGCCATCTGCTTTCCACAATGCAAGGAGCCAGGACTAAAACTCTACAGTCAGCAATATATATGTACATATTTGAAAGGGGAGAGTTTGGGGGAAGGGAAAAGCAGCTTAAGTCTCTGAAGCCAAAGATTAGCTGGAGCAACTTGGAAAGAAACAAAAGTAAAAACAACTTATCCGTAGATGGGATAAACTTCAAATATATTTATGAAATACTGTCAACAGATCGGGTAATTTATTGCAGGCCAAGTTGGAAGGAAAGGTTTTGCAGTTGCTCATTGAAATTTACTATGGAAACTCAAGGAACTTTACAATAAACTTTTTGCAATGAAAAACATGGCCTGTTCCTTCATCTCTTACAAAAGGCGCTGCCAACTTGCAAGCTGAAGTACAAATTTATTTCTAAAAGTGCCTTATATATTCATTAAACATAAATATTGAGTTAAAAATACTGTTTCAAAAATGTAATGATTTTGGCAAACACTACAGAAGTATACAAACTCTTGCTTTATCAGTTCTGAAAATTGTATACTCTTTAATGAAATCTGCAAAACACTCATGACTACGAACATGACTATGACTGACTGGATTGACGATTTGGCGTAGGAAACTGTAATGATGTAATGATAATGATGATTTTTTTATTGTACTGTGTTGTACTATTTTAATACCTGTGGTTCTTTTATATGATTGTACTTTATATGTGCTGTAAACCGACCTGAGTCCCTCGTCGAGGTTGAGAAGGCCGGTATAGAAAACCTCTAAATAAATAATAATAATAATAATAATAATAATAATAATAATAAATAGAGAAAAGCCTGAGAAATATATACACACGAGTGTGCTCCAGCATGCATTGTGTTGTTTTCTTTGTTCATTTGTAGCAAAATGGGTTTTTTAATACTTCCACAGCAGAGGAAATCGACACAATTGCAGTTTTCCCCATCCCAATCCCCCCCCCCCCCGCACACACACATTAACTTCAACCAATGTCAAACTTCTTTTTCAAAATGGCAGGATATCCACAACTTACCATACATTTTGCCTTCATCAGACAATATAATTTTCCTTCGTCCACATGGAGGATATATAGCTAGTGCTTCCTGAAAGCTTTGCTCAATATCTGGGCTCCAGACTCCTTCAGCATCATTATCAATAGGTTTATCTGCTGAATCGCTCATTCTTTCAATGTCCTCGGCAGGACTTTCGCTGCCGCTCCAGCTGCTGGGCTCAATGGTGCCGGCTGGGTGCTCCAAGCCTCAGCCTGGAAGCTTCAACAGAATAAATCTAGAGGAGAGAAACATTAAAACATTCATCTGAATATTCCCAAACTTGTTGTAGTAATCAGTACCATAAATGCACAAATTGTGATTACAGGTTATAAACCTCCAAGCATAGAGAACAACAACTAAAGTTCCCAAATCCTTGAATCAGGCAATAGATTATGTCCTTTAATTATTTAAGAATAAACAAAATGTTAAAAGAACATTAATGTACTTGGACGAGAATAATACACTGAAAAAAATAGGATATCCCCCTTAACATAAGTGTGATGGTTTCTAGAAGGTAATGTTTAGTTCCCATTAGATTAACAATACTGGCAATTATATTATTTTAATTCAATCCAGTTGCCTTTGGAGTTTTGACACAAATGGAAAATCAGCATACCTTTATCTTACTTGGCCTATGTGAATGGTATTGTTTGGGTACAGACACAAAATGTAGCCAATATTCTACAAGTTATTTCTCAAGAAAGGATAACTAGCCAAGATTTTACACCTGTTTCAAAGAAGAGTCCACTATACAGCAGTGTGTGTTTGTGTGTGTGTGTGGGGGGGGGGGGGGTTGGGGATGTATCTCAGGCATGGAATCAAATTAATAAGTAATAATCTAACATGACAGCACCTGGTGAAACCACTTTACTCACAAACTCTCTTCAGTGTTGCATTCTAGGTGAATGATTGGCTGATATAAGAGGGTGATCTCTAGACAAAGACTATGTTTCTTTCCTTAAGGAAGGGGATTAAAAATGAAAGGTATTTCTGGACCAACCAATTTGGTTTAAACTATTTGCATAATATGAACCCAGACACTCATACAACATATTAAGTAATACTAATCAAAAGATCTCTCTTTCCAGGATTAGATCTGACCAGGAGGCAGGGCCGTAGCCAGAAAAAAAATTCGGGAGGGGTTGAAATTTGGGGGGGGGGGGTGAAACCTGCCTCCTAGGTCACGCTGAAGCAAAGAGCACAGGAGGGGGCAGAGCAGCCTTCAATAGCCTGCAGCTCTGTCCCTGACAACCACCTCCACCAAGTCTGGCCTCCTTAATGAGAGCATTCAACACACACACACCCAACTTGGTTGCTTCGCTACATTGGTTATTGCTGCAAGTAATGACAGTGTGAATACATTGTCAATATTTGCTTGAGATAGTGCTTGCAGTTCTGGAGGGACTCTTAATTTTTTGCATCTCATAGACTTAGTTTGAGGATTTGGTTAACCAGTTAAAATTCATGAGTAAACCAGTTTTTTTTAAAAAAAATCTGAAACATTTTGGGGGGGGGGGTGTTGAACCCCTAAAACCACCCCCTCGCTACAGGCCTGCCAGGAGGATATGAGAATTGGTCATGTTAGTATGAATAAAGCTCCTACAGTTCTTTGAGCTACTGATTTACACAGATCACAAGCATCACTTGCCCCTCTGCCTCCCCAACTCAATGCGAGCTCCTCCCAGGCAGAGTTCAGCAGCAACTCTTTCATACTTGCGGGGTGCCTGAAGTGGAACTACCAGCCAAAGTAAACTACCCCTGTGGAAATGAATTATGAACTGAAGAGAGCTTTTAATAAATTCCATATTAGTATGAATATTGATATGACAAAGAGGGAAGTGGGTTAACAAGTGTGTAAGGTTTTGTGTTCCAACAGCTAAATGAATTTCATTAACTTTCCAGAAGGCAACCACTTAGTTGAACACTTTACGTTCAGCATCATCTATCAAAAAGTAAATGCACTTGATATTATTCTTGAATTTGAAAATGATTACATTTGGTGTTAGGCCAGAGTCGCTGCTTTTTTATCTACCAATCAACTTTATTGCAGTTTCCCACTTGAAAATATGATTAATAAAGTATTCTGGAATGTGTTTTGCTATTTTTAATTAAAGTAATATTGATACGTTGAGCACTGTATGTATATGTGGAGACGCACACACTGCATTTAGATTTCAAAACTAGACAAAACGTTTAAGAGATCTATCTGGCTCAACTTGCTGCTGAACCTAAAGACAAGCCTAGTTGAATAGCTTAATTACTAAAGCTACATTAGTTTTGTCCAGGAAATGTCTATATTAACAAATTTGTTTAAATAGCTAATTTAATGTATATTATAATCTAGATTCTCAACCTAAACATAGAGTGATCAATTTCATGAACGTCTATGCTGTTCTAGTACAAGCATGCCTCAGTTAACATATCCTCTGACAAAGAAACTCCTTCTTACAAGTCTTCTTCTGTCCACCCAAGTCTACTCTTTTCCTCCTTATTCTCAATCTAGCCAAATGTTTTTTTAGCATTGGGAGGGTCTTGAAGAACTGGAGAAACACAGGGATTCAATTGCCAAGATGCAGGACTACATTTGCAGTAAACAGTGCAACAGTTTAGAAAGAATGGGATACCTCTCAGCCAACTACTCATTGTATATTTCTTCCTGCAACAGGCAAAGCCACACTCACTCAAACTACAGTACAACACATTTATCCCAAAAAGAGATTTTCAGGTTTTATATGAAATCTTTGGTTCATAGATTCACAGAACGAGAAAATAACAATGAATTTGCCACTTACAAAAAATGGCGGAGAAGGTGATATTAATGCAAGGAAATCATATTGAAAAGAAACATGGTCCTGACTGGTCATTTCTATATTCTCACACTATTCATTTTTAATAAAACTATTCTTCCCATGTTATTTTCTGTTAAAGATGTAATGCCAGGAACACATCTATGTTGTCACTTAGATTTTTAAAAATGGAATGCTTCCTTCTGCAGTGATTTCCTTTAATATTTGGGTTTCAAGGTATGAGAAAGATCTTCCAATGGAAAAAAATAACTTGTTAGTATCTGCATATTTGTCTTGATCTGAATTTTACACTGTTTATGAACTTTTTTTTGGCAGGGTTTTTGCATTAACCTGGAAAGGAAGAAAGAATTGCCACTTCTGTTTGGTTTTCAGAGCATCTGGAAATTTTTTAATAATATTTTGATAGTCCGATATAATTAATTAGGCAATACAACTTTAGAAAGTGACTGTATTGTTTGTATTTTAAGTTCTTGACATGGAGTGTCCTTTATCAGTACATACTAATCTGTTACACATTCAGGGGAAATATTTTCAAAAAATTTACTGCCTTCCATATTTTAAAAGAATCAGAAATGTTACACAAATTGTACTGTTAAAAACATAAGATGTAAAAACTGAAAGTTCTGAAGACAAATATGTGCTGACCTTTTGCAAAGGAATCACTCAAGCAATTTATGCCTGATCAATTATGTTATACGTTCAGCATTCATGTTTAAGAAAACACTTTGTTCAGTTGATTGCATCTTCAATATAGACAAATGAGTATGCTATATGGTTTGCCTTTTATTACATTTAATGCTCAAGACAGAAACCAATTTCTTCACACATGCACAAGCCATTTGCAAATAATCACAGTAAAATGAAATGCATCATTTTAACACTGAACGTGAACAAAGGTATTTCGCAACTTGGGAAACTACTGATTGTGAATTATTGTATTTCATTTTTAATTATCAAACTGAATTCAGTACTTGGCTCTTGGAGAATTCTTAACTGTAGCCTCTACATGGGGCTATACAGTACATGACAACTGTTTTTGTGATGGTGCTTTGTCTAAAAGTCATTTCCAGTTTTTGGTGACCCCAAGGCAACCCTTTCTTGACAAGACTTATTTAAGGGGAACTTTGCCATTGCCTTCCTCTGAGGCTGAGCAAATATGACATACCTACATCACCCAGTGAGTTTCTATGATTGAGCAGGGATTCAAACCCTGGCCTCCTAAACTTCTAGTCCAAAATTTCAAATCACTACACCATGCTCCACACCATAACAACCTCAGATATGCAGATGACACCACTCTGATGGCCGAAAGCGAGGAGGAGCTGAGAAGCCTTCTAATCAAGGTGAAAGAAGAAAACGCAAAAGCCGGGTTGCAGCTAAACAAAAAAAACCCAAGATTATGGCAACAAGAATGATTGACAACTGGGAAATAGAGGGAGAAAATGTGGAGGCCGTGACAGACTTTGTATTTCTAGGTGCAAAGATTACTGCAGATGCAGACTGTGGCCAGGAAATCAGAAGACGCTTACTTCTTGGGAGGAGAGCAATGTCCAATCTCGATAAAATAGTGAAGAGTAGAGACATCACACTGGCAACAAAGATCCGCATAGTCAAAGCAATGGTATTCCCTGTAGTAACCTACGGATGTGAGAGCTGGACCTTAGGGAAGGCTGAGCGAAGGAAGATCGATGCTTTTGAGCTGTGGTGCTGGAGGAAAGTGCTGAGAGTGCCTTGGACTGCGAGAAGATCCAACCAGTCCATCCTCCAGGAAATAAAGCCTGACTGCTCATTGGAGGGAAGGATACTAGAGACAAAGTTGAAGTACTTTGGCCACATCATGAGGAGACAGCAAAGCCTAGAGAAGACAATTATGCTGGGGAAAGTGGAAGGTAAAAGGAAGAGGGGCCAACCAAGGGCAAGATGGATGGATGGCATCCTTGAAGTGACTGGACTGACCTTGAAGGAGCTGGGGGTGGTGACGGCCGACAGGGAGCTCTGGCGTGGGCTGGTCCATGAGGTCACGAAGAGTCGGAGACGACTGAATGAATGAACAACAACAACACACCATGCTGGCTCACAGATATGAAAAATAATAATCAGCTCTGTGTATTGTGAAAAATCAATGTAGAAGATGTGGAAGAATGTAACATTTAAATATAAAACAAGCTATTTTAATGCTACATCACTACAGGTCTAGCCAAGTGGTTTATGAAATCGGATTGACTGCCACAGATATTTTTTCTGTCAATCCTATGGGAGCTAGGATTGAAGTCAGATCTCTCTGGCTTCTGAGACAAAACTTTCCAGTATAGGGACCATCATGAAATAAATTACAATACGTACAGTAATTTGAATGCTTACCCTAAAGCATGCTATACATCTTTTTAAAATTCCCCTGCTTCCTTTTGCACATTTACAAAGGGAGAAG